CTTAGACATGAGTAGCTTCCAGAGCCTGTTATTTTGTTCAGTTGAGAGCAAAGTAACTGGAAATTGTTTATATTTTTAATGAATATCGGTGGAGGTCGGGGATCTCTTGGTATCAGAATTGACTCCATTAACTCTCTATCATTCTGAAGCACCGAAGCACCTGATAGGGGTTGGGTATAAAAGAGGGAGATTCTTCAGTTGTCTATTGTGACCATGTATCTGATTGAGGCCGAGGTTCTTCAATTGTCTCTTGTGATGATGTACCTTGCTGGGTTTCATGTTTTCCGGAGGTAACGAAATGTTTGTCGAGGTTGGCGATGCTTTTCTTTGACAGGCGAAGAACGAGGTGTCGAGCCTAACAACCGAATTCTCTTAATAGACGATCTGCTAGACATGACCTGATGGTGATATCATGTAAAAGATAAAAAATTAATAATGAATAAAAAAAAATGCACTCTTTACCTATGTTGGATTTACATCCATAATTTTTGTATATATATATATCATTTGGTATTATATACTATATATTTATTATTTGCCTTGTATAAATAATAAGGGGACCTATATCATCCTGTCCTACCCCCACTCAAAGACTGCGTTATCAACGTCTAAGTCCAGGTGCTTGACTAAGCACACATCCACCAGTTCACTTGCTCAGCCCACTTGCTCTACCGAATTTACAGCTCGTGGCTAACGGAGAGAGAGAGAGAGAGAGAGAGAGAGAGAGAGAGAATCACAGCCCTTCGGCTACACGTTAAAGCCCTTCGACTACACATTGACTGGAAACCTGTTGCAACAGGTTGAGACGGCTTAGGCGAGTGGCGGCATCGGGAGAGAGGCGACAAACAACAGGCATGAGACTGGCCCCTTATCAAATTGTATGTTGCAATTATTACTCTCAATTAACCCACTAAAACTAATTGCCCCTTTAGGAACATTAATTGAAAGTTACAATATAAGGAAATTAATAAAATAAGTAGTGACGTCACTAACATATATTAATTCCTCAACCAAACTCTTAATTTTTATTTCACAAGAAAAGGGCTCCCCGGTCATATAGCATTTACTGGGCCCCCCAATATTATACAACCTGTTTTAAATGAATAATCCCAGAGATTTCGCTGAAAAATAATCAAATTGTGGGGGCCAAGGTAGAAACACAACCTCTGTTCCATAGAAATATCTAAGTTGACTTTCTCTAGCACTGTTAAAGTGTTCTCACTACCATACGCCTATAAGTTATCATTTACCTATTCTGTTTTAGAAAGAAATTTCACTCCCTCTGACTTTAATCTATTCCAGGATTTGAGATCAATAACACAATATTGTGATCCTGAATATGTTATCATTGGAGTAAGAACACCACTCATTAAACAGTTTATCATAGTATTATTCCTGATAACCTTGTTTCTTCTTTCATTATTGTGTAATAACCATTATTTCTTTCTTTTTCCTCCTTATTTCTTGAGCTGCAACAGTTGGCAAAATGCCGTGCTGTCGTGAGTCTGTCTATCACATCTAAAGCATGTAATAGGAACAGTTTTACCTTTTAGTCTATTTACCTCAAAGGTACTTATCTCTGGATCTTCAATTCCTTTCATTTGTCCTAATGATAATTTATAACCTTTTGCCATCTTCAAAGCTTGTTCTAAAGGGATATTACCAGCTTCAAGTTGTTCTCTACGCAATCAAGAGTTGGAGCATTTCTCAATCAATTGATCTTTAATGTTTTCTTCAAAGCAAATCTCTAAAATTACAATTCTGTCCTTGGAGTCGCAAGTGAAATACGAAATGGTCGATAGTCTCTTGTGCTTCTTGCTCTAATTTACAAAACTTATGTTTTTCATAAGTATAATTTGTCTTAGGAATAAAATAACTTTCTAAAATTTTAACATTCTCTTCATAGGACAATTCGCTTTTTGACTCGATAATGAAAAAAAATAAAGTTGCTGTAAATCCATACCTGTCATGTTAAAAACATTGCATTTATCCTTTTTGCATCCAAAACCAATCCTTTTTCTTGAACAGATAATTGAAAGGCTCGTTTCCATTTAATCCGTTCTGCACTACTACCTACTAGATTTACATCTCCTTCGATCCGGCCGAATCCTCTGACGCCATCCAAAAATTACAGGAAGATATAAACGGAATTCGTGCCTGGGCAGACCACAATAGAATTAGCCGAGAAGACGAAAGCCATCCTGATCGGAACTCCCTCACTAATCAAATCCTTACAGACACTCCCCAATCTTTTCCTGAACAACTCACTTATCTCATTCCATACTTCTGTAAAAAACCTTGGTGTTACCTTTGATCAAACCCTCTCCTGGAAACCACACATCTCTAAATTTCCCGTCGTACTATCTCTACACTGAAACAGTTTAACCGTCTCCGCTATCTCCTTCCATATAAATCCCGTCAACTCCTGGTTTCCTCCCTTGTGTTCCCCCACTTCGACTATGGTTGTCTGGTGTACGGCGGACTCTCGGGAGAATTCTGGGCCAAACTTAAACGCCTAATGAACTGTGCAATACGTTTTGTTTTCGAAATCTCATGAGATACGCATGTAACCCAGTATTACACCAAGTTGAAGTGGCTCTATCCATCCAATCACCGTCTATACTTCCTTGCTACCTTTCTATACTGTCATCAGAACTCAACGATCTTCCTATATTTTTCACAGCCTACAATTTAAATATTCCATTCAATGTCGTCTCAATAGATCCCGTACTTCCGACCCCTATCCACCTCCTCACCGAACTGCTGCGTTTGACAAATCCTTTATGATTCAAGCCGTCTCCATCTGGAATACCATCCCTCTCGATATCCGACATTCCGACATGCACTATCAGTTTCCTCACTTAAATCTCTCCTTTTTAAGCACCTACGTCTTTCCCAACCCGATTGATCATGAAAAGTAGATAAGAGACCTTTTTAAGTTCCTCTGAAATGATTTTGTTTACTTATGTTATTTTATTTTCACATGTTTGTATTATATATATATATATATATATATATATATATATATATATATATATATATATATATATATATATATATGTATGTATGTATGTATCTGTATGTTTTATGTTTTTGTTTTATTCTTCTTTCAATATTTTTATTTTAATGAGAATTTAATGTATCGTCACACAGGCATTTTCTCTGTATCTATAATTTGTCCTAAAGGGACAACAGTCCCAGGAAAATAAACAATTTTTTTCATTTCATTTCATTACTACCCGAAATATTCATTTGCGGAAAGTTTCTCGATACCATTTTAACCCATCACTAAGAATGTATTTACCTTGTCGCTAATTGTATTAACTGTAATAAATTATAAATAAATTATTTCAAAATAGCTAGTGAGTTTTATTCTCTCAAAATTTTATAACCCATGATACATATTAACTTGAGCTTCCAATGTTACCAACACTACAAAAGGAAAGATCTGATCTCGAATGGATGAGCATAGATAGAAACAAAAATGTAACCCCCAAGCTGCTCATTGATAAGATCTAGCTCTGTACACAAGCGTCCTGGATATTATAAAACGGGCCATCACGTTAATAGATGAAACTGTAACAAAACATGAGCACAATATTTACAAATATAATCAGCGAATGACCTTAAGCAATTCTGGAATATGAACCTCCCACTATCCAACTATAAGCGATTCAGCGGTATGTTACAGAATCTTAACGGGGCATAATTACCAATAAAGTTGCCTACATCACATCAGCGTGGTCTATCTACAACCTATTATGTATTCTTCTCATCGCCAGCGATAAGACAGGTTTTAACTGCCATGAAAGTGAAGATGAGTCAAGAGATAAATTCAAAGTAGCGAAAAAAACGCTACAATAATTCCAAAGTTAAGTGAGCAGTTCGTTATCTAATAGCTTTTCGAGGTAGGTGTAAACAGAAGACCTCCGCAAAGCGTGTTAAATTAGGAAAAGGATTCAACGGATGCGGAAAGAAAGACTTGTGTCAGGCGAATACGCACAAAAATCACTCTCGGTCTGCGAGCTAAGGGATGAATAACCACAAACGCTGAGATCTCCAGACTTGGTTGGTAGAAGAAATACCAACGAAAGGGTGGGCCTCCAAACTTGGTCTATGTGACTACTAGCGGACAGATGAACATTCAGACCTTGTCTGGAAGAGAGACAAGGAGATAGAGTCAAAGGAACATGAGTTAAGAAATAATCAGATTGACAAGATCACAAAAAGTTTATAAAATGTACTGATCAATAAAATAAAGGTGAAATGAAGTAACTCCCCGAAGGGGGGAGAAAAATAATTCAAATTAAGTAACTTTAGAAAGGCTAGTAATTATCCACCACGATGATAAGGCTAGTAAGAATCTTTTCAGTTACAGTTATTTCTATGTTTGGATCAGTATATGCTATTACATACCATAAATTTTATTTTTGAAAAGTATACATAACGTGTATACTAATATAACATATACATATTTTTAAACATTAAAATAATAACAATAGAACTTATATATAAATAGAACTAGAACTAAAAATATAACTAGGTAAAATGCTTGACCGCGCACATGTGGTGGTGTCTAGTAGCGAATAAGTGATCTAATTAGCGCTCCAAGCTGATTGATAATAAAATCTACATTAACCTAATTTAAAATTTCAAGAAACTTTTAGTTTAAGATTATGAAATTATCTCGTTACTAATGAACTGGACTATACCATTATATTTAGATTTTTTGTGAACATCTTATTCTTATTTTGATGAAATAGAATGTAATAAATAGAAATAAGGACGAAATGTATAACTAACTATACATGCTATCTGGACTACAACCAATGAATACGTAAAGGTAAGGTAGCCAATCATGGGACAACCTTATTAAAACAGTAAAAAAATATTAAGTTCCGTAATGTTGACAGAAAATAAAAACTCACACTTTTAATTAATCAAAGCTTATTATAGTTAATTGTTTAACATCCATAGAAACCAGAACTATATCACGATTCATTAGATAAAGTTCACATTTTAAAGACGAAACACCGCATATCAGAATGAATTATCTTGATGACTACAGAAACATCTATTGGTTGCTTTCAAAACCAGTTTCTCGTCCTACTGAACACGAAGAAGAACCATCAGATCCTCCATGGAGACAAACTGCAATATGGGCTCGTATTTTAAGAGAGCGTAAGTTTGTAATCATAAAGATGGAAAAAAAATTCGTTGACCCAGCTGCTGAATTTTTAGCGGTAAGTTTTAATGAAAACAATTATGTACCATTATACATTTTGTTCAAATCCTTTACAGGGTCGGAACTTGGAAAGAGCAAAGGAATTACCGGCCCCGGATGGTTGAATTAGCAAATTTCGGACCAACTTTTACTTTTAAATAAAATTTTAAAAAATGTTATTTTTAGTAATTTAATTGTTTAAGTTTTATTTGCTTCTGCTTTTTTACTTTAATTCAGCCAATAAAATTAATTTATTTTATGATGTATTGAATTTTATTTTTAAATACTATTGCCTAAAATAGAATTATAAAACTGATGAATTTTATCGCTGAGTGAAGGGTGATCTGAAAGAACAGTCGGCAAAGTTAGACTTGATTCTCCTGGAAAAAAAAAAATCTAATTTCGGCCCTGTGACTATAATGTGACTGTGATAGTTACTATAATTACCCAATTACTTTCGAAACAGTTTCTTCGAACTAACTATCGTGCCCTAGCTGCATCGCATTCGTGGATGGTTGAACAGATGGACGCTATCACCGCCTTACTTCAGCCGGAACTAAACGAAGAGATCTATATGTATCATCCAGAGATGACAGGGGATGGTAAAGTAAAGACTGAATTCAACAAAATTTGCAGACTAAAAAAGTTAGTGTATGGCCTGAAGCAAGCCAGCCCACTATGGTATGAGAAGTTCAGTGATGACAAAACTTGAACATAAAAAGGCTCTATTCGATCCTTGTGTTTTCTACAAATTCGATGAGGACTTTGTTTTCATACTTGCGTTGTATGTAGATGACATAATGATCTTTACTAATAATAATGATCTAAAGATTAGAATCAAGAACGACTTGATGAGAACATTAGACATGAAAGATCTCGGACAAGCAAGTTACTGTCTGGGGAATTTACTGTTACTTTCTAAAAGGGGCTCAAAATGCTGGATCAGTTTGGATGATCTTAAGGGGACGAAGCAGGTTCATGATGGTGAAAACCATTTTATCAGCAAGAAAGATTTGTTCGAAGCAATTGACAAGTCAGCAGGTCTGGAGGAAGTAAACGACGTTTATTATGGTAAAAACCACTTTATTTTCTAATGCTATAGAAGTTGCACATTGGGACTATCTTCGCTTTGAAGCAAGTTATAGAGAGGTCCTCTTATGATCATCCAAACTGATCCAGCATTTTGAGCTCCTTTTAGCAGCATCTTGAAATATTCTGTTCATCTGTTTCCTATATATTCTTTTAGCCATATAATGGATACTGGTCCTTGTTTTCTTTTTCGAGATTTTGGCACTGCCTTTGTCGTTCGCTTGATGTATTTTTCCAATGTTTGGGTCAAATTTCGCGTTTTCCCTCATTTTGAGACTGTAGTATAAGACTGTAACCTCTATTTATATTCAATTATAATATAATCGATTACATATGTTAATTAGATAAAGATAAGACAGATGGTGTATTTTGTAATAAATAATAAAGCACACCTACGTTTGTTCTATAAGTATTTATATTAATTAATCAAACATAGTACAGAGACCAAATACTAACAATCAGTTCCACTTACCTAGAATAACTTATAGCTTCGCCCTTTCCATCTTTCTTTATGCAGAGAGTATAATGCATTCAATATTAAAATTTCCTATTTTTTTATGATATGGTCCAACTTCCCAACAAAATAAAGGAAATAAAAATGATTTTTTAAATAGTTATATATAAATTTTACTAAACAATCCATCACCTATTCATTATATGTAGTTCACATTAGGTATATATCATTTTAGTTTATAAAACAGGTATTAATATGACTCATTTCCGGGGAAGTATATACAATTTAAATTACCTCTAAGAATCAGTAAATATATAAAACAAAGTATTAAATTGCAAACATTAAATAAAAAATTCAAGATATTCAGCAAAGTATTTTTGAATTAAGCTTTATTATTATAATTATATAATTTTTATAATAGTGACCTTCTTAAACGACCTCCGTATACAATAAAGGAGGTTAAATTTAAAAAAAAATAATAAATTTAAAAAAATAAATAAAATAAAATTATTGTATTAATTTGTTCGTTAATATAGTCAATATAATGTAACAAAAAGGTTATTATAGCACTAAAACTAAGCCATTTATGAGTACTGAATGCTGTGGTAGAGGCCTGCAGGCACCTACGCCAGTACCACTTTTCTGCGCTTAAGTGCATTTTCTACGGAACTACTTCTAATATTTTTAATCATTGTTTTAGAAAGAGAAATGTATTTTCCAGGTGTTTTATATCAGCACGTTTTGCGTTATTGTTGGCCGTTTAGTTACAAACGACGCTTGATTTTCAAGTTGAAAATTTTTTTGTTAAAAAAATTGACTTTACTGATGTTTTTTATTGCCTAAGCCAATTATATTTTAATATTTTTCCATGTTTTATTATTCTGTGACTACCCAGCTTTAATAAAAGACCAACTATGAGGAAATTAAGCCAAATGCTGATTCTGAGTAACAAAAAAACTAACTAAAGTCAAAGTCGTCAATCCGCTATGTTAGGACGACATTTTGTGGTAGTTCGTTCTCTTTTTTTTGTGGGAATATTGCCTTTTTTTAAATAAATAGTTACAAGGAACTCAATGATTTGCAACTTATAGGGATATGGATGGGGGGGGGGGGAACGGTGGAGGGGTCCGGCCCACAGACTAAAAGAAATATATAGAAATAATCCTAAAAGGTTTATTCGGTTATTTAAGGTTATCGGATTGTAAACCACAGCGAACTCCAATGGAATATGGCCTGAAGCTTATGAAGAATAATGATTCTGAGGATGCTGATGTACCTTATCGAACTGCTGTTGGATCTTTGATGTATGCTGCCAACTGTATAAGACCAGATTTATCTTTTGCAGTGGGGGCACTTAGCAGATTTAACTCAAACCTGAAAATGACACACTGGTCGTATTTAAAAAGAATTTTTCGGTATCTTCAAGGAACCAGCGATGGCAGGCTTGTGTTCAGAAAATCCGAAAATCCGATTCATGGATATGCAGACATTTTGTCGATGACCAAATGGTCCGTACATCTGTTACTGGATACGTGTTTTTGCTTTCATCAGGCGCTTTTAAGTGGTCAAGTAAGAAGCAACCAACTGTAGCCCGATGTACCACAGAGGTGGAGTACATGTCTATCTCAAATGCGACTCAGGAAGCTCTGTGGCTGAGAATGGTACTCGTTGAGCTTGGCTAATTGAAACCTGACATGACGATCAACATCAAATGTGACAACAAGGGAGCTGTTGACCTCACCAAAAACTCAACTCACCACAACAGAACAAAACACATTGACGTGCACTATCATTTTGTTCGAGAAGCTGTGAAAAATGGACAAGATTCTGTGCTTAAGGAATCCACCGAATTTATGTAGGCTGATGTCCTCACAAAACCCTTACCCAGAGTGAAACAGCATTGGTTTACAACGAAGATGGGATTGGTGCTCAATCCCATGCGGCAAGTGAGGGTGTTGGAGACTAATGCCGCATGTGTAGGAGAAGGGGGGTTATTAACAATGACTATCACCAATGAATATTGTATATCTACCCGGCAACACTGTTTTTTTTTTTTTTGTAACCTTCTTAATTTACCTTGTTAATCTTTTAATTAATACCAGTATGTGTAATGTTATAATTGAGTTATTTTAGAAGTAAATTTTCGTTTTGTTTACATTGTGCTATTTTTCTTCATCACCAAATTTCCAGAACTCTAACAACATTGCATCAAGATTCCTAGATAACAATACATTCTAGGTTACGTAGCACTCAGTTTTGTCAGTCTCCTGCCATCTACTCCTTCCTTAGCGGTCTGGTCGGCTTAAGACCTGGACTTGGCTTCCTAATCTTGTAGTAGTGCGTTGTTTCACATCTAGGGGGCGGCTGCTCGGTTGGAGTAAACGATGTTGTTGCAGATGGCCGTTGTTAAGTTGTTGAATCTTCAGACTCTGAAGTCTAAAGCAATTAAATCGGTTTTATTCCGTGCACTGAGATATTAATTGGTTTGCCTTTCATGCCAACCACAATAACTTTATCTCTTCGTTCCAAAACTCGATAGGGCCCCTCATAAGGTTTTTCTAGTGAGGCTCGAACACGATCTATTCGTACAAAGACGTGTGAACTAATGCGTAGGTTCTTATGGACAAACGTTTTTGGCAACTGTTTGGGTATTGTTTGCACAGATTAAAGGTTATTTAATGCTGAACGTGATTGACTAATTAATGTTGGTAGATTTGATTTTGGATCGGAGTTAGGCTAAAAAAAAAATCATCAGGAGTGCGGAGCTGGGTACTATATACAAGTTGCTGATGCTGGTTCATTAATTGAACACTGGCCTCCCAACAAGACAGTAGGCAAGACGGTAGTCCAATTGTTTGTAGAATGAGCCATTATAGCTACCTTTAAGGTTCTATAAAGGCGTTCTATTTTACGATTGCTTTGTGGGTGTTATGCTACTGTACGAACAAGCGAGATCCAAAAAGCTTTGCTTGTTCGGTAAATAATTCAGAACGAAACTGAGTTCCTATGTCAGTAACAATATTGGCGTGGCTTCCAAATCAAGCAATCCATCCTACAAAAAACTCAGAGCTACTTCTTCAGCTGTTTGATAACGCAATGGCAGTACCTCCATCCAGTTGGTGTAGCGATCGATGGAAGTTAAGCAGTATCTATATTCATGGGATATTGGGAGTTGTCCGACAAGGTCTATTGTCGAAAATCATTCTATGTCGTTGGGAAAACGATGTAAAGGTGCCTTCGTATGCTGGGTCCAGCGAAGCAAAGTGACCCTAGGTATAAATCTACAATTTAGGTATGACCTGGTCCACGTTTTAATGTCTTTGTTGATATTATTCCAAACAAACTTAGGTGATATAAAATTTAATGTTCTCGTGGTAGGTCATTGCTCGATTCCCAGCGTTTCATTCTTCTTCCTCCCAACTCATCTACCTACTGGCCCACAGATCCTAACCGTAATCCCGATATACTTGATTTTT